TTTGGGGGACATTCTCTGATTAAGCACCATGGACATTTTTAAATTTAAAAACATAACTAGCAATTGCAGTGCTCCAGATACTTTATATGCATAATCTAAATATAGTATGTTAGTATATATATTTGTACTCTAAATATATATATTAACCTAAGGAATCAAACTTTCACTCTAATAAAGCTAAATATCAAAGAAAAGGAAGTAGTTACACAGATCTCTGTTCTCTGGAATACATCTAAAATTGCTTAATGAATCCATCTCCTCTTGGTGGAATTGTCTCATAAGAATTAAAAATTCCCTAAGGCTTTCTTTTTCTTAAGCCCAGCAGCTTCCACTGGTATTCATATTTGTCTCTGTTACTCTTCTTTATGCCAAGCAAAACTAATTAAGGTTCCTCCTCCTTCCTGATTATTTAAGTTTGTTTGGGCACCACTTCGTCACTGTGGTGAGTGTACGGCAACTCTGGAATGAAGCTGAGGCAAGGCAGCCTATCATAGGAGAAATGAGTAGTTAATGTCTAAGCTAAACTTTTCTCAGGCAGACTCACTCTAAATGAGTTCAGAGACTGGGGAAGAAGAAAATTCCTTAAAAAGAGAAGTAAATAAGGACTCCACAGGCAGGTAAATGACTTCAGAGGAGAAATGTAAGAAATGCACAGGAAAGCCTCTACTCCCACCTCTTACTCCCAGCATTTGCCTCTTGGAACAGCTATTCCATCATTCATTTGTAAACTCCTAATGCAAATAAGGAAATGTTTTATTAAGAATAAAATAGACAGTGAGAGGAGAATACAATACCCAGTTCCCCATATACCCTTAAGTCTAACATCTGAATTATTCCAGAACTTCATAGAATTTCTTCAGATGCCAGTATGCAAGTGCTTTAGCAGATCCTGAGTAGAATTAGGGTTTGTACAATAGTGTAGGATCTCCAGTTCAACTAAGCCATAAGCAGAGAATAAAACAACAGTGGAATCTGAACCTTTATGAATTTCCCTTCTCTACTGAAAAGAAAAAGTTTTCTGGTCTCAGGAGCTAGGTAGAAAGGAAGAACTATGGAGATTAAGTTTCATTTGTGCCTGATTATTTTTCTTTACCACAAGTGAATACATTCTTCTGATTTAAACAGAATATAGCCTACTCTTTTTCTGTATAATGATTAGTCTATTTTACATTCCACGTTAATTTCAAAGTTGAAGTCTGCAATGATCTTATTTCCATTATATTCTTGTTCTTAGAAGATATCACTCTGTTTTTCTTCTCCAACAAAGCATTTGAGGTACACTCAGTTGTCTTTTAGGCTATATTTACTCAGTTAGCTTTTGGTCGTGGTTGTTCCAGCAATCTGTGAAGGAATAAGTTTGACTGTGACTAAATCTAATGTTACAGGAGCTATAACTATAAAATACCATTTTGCAGGTTTGATTTTGAAACTCTTCATCCACTGAACAAACACAAATGATCTAAAACAAAATATAGACTAGGATTAATCCAAGTACTACTAAGTTTATTCTTCAGCTGGACTGTAGAAAACATGAAGATGTAGATGCAATTCAGCTTGCATTCAATGTCTCACTATCCAGGTCAACAGGTTTTTCCATGATAGCAACTTTTCTGCATCACATGATTTTATTATGATGACTACCATTTTAGCACTCCTCTAAATAAATATTTGTAGGGCTTCTGAAACAACCCTTCTTTGCTCCACCTAACTTTCCCATAAATATATCTCAAACTCTGTCATTTGATTGCAATTTCTTTAAAATTTTGACTCACCATCCATGACGCATATAGTACCTGATATTTAGGTCACAAAGTCCCAACCTTGTTCCACCCTCTCTGGGTTATAAAACTGTTGAAGTAATGTGTGAAGACAAAGTGCTTGAGACTGCTCTTTTGCAATTTCCCTGTTTCGGTACACATCTGAAGCAACATGTGGGAAGGTGAGTTAGTCATCAGCCAGAGTTAGGGAGCTCAGTATTGACTTTCCATCTAAATACTGTTCTGCCTTTGACTTTTCAGGTGATTGAGTCACTCTGGGTCACTCTGGGTAACTCTGGGTCACTCATAAAATACCTCAGTATCCTCAAATTCCATCAGATAGAAAAATGGTAAAAAAGAGTGTCATCTTGTCATCTGAGATTTTGTTTAACATCAATGAGGTTAACATTGTGAGGTTACAATAGGACTTCAAATGTCATACCTGTTTTTCAGTCTTCAGGAAACCTTTGTCTTGAGTAGAAGAATACCTGGAAATTACTTCTTCCATCTGCAATTTTGAAGGGAAATATGCATGTATTTACAGTCTAAATATTTGCTATGGCATTAATGATGGGCAAGAGATCATCTAGATGATACCTAGAGATCATAAGCTGAGATTTTGCACAAAGTCCTTGAGTGAGATGCTTTTAAAAACAGAATTCAACCTAACTGGGTTACCAGGAATATGGTTGTTTGATATTCATTAGCTATTACTGCAGAAATAGAGACTGGAACAAATATCACCACAAGTGTAATTGTTTGGTATTTCATGACTTTTTAGGATCCATGAAATAATCTTGACATAACACTTTCTGAAATAAGTCACATAAGTAAGTATGGCCTTTACTGGTATTGCTTTTGTTCACAAAAAACCTGTTTCATATAGTAAATGAAGCATTATCTTTTCTATTTTATTGACTGAACATTTTTGAATCAATATACATTCATGGACAAAGAACTTGAGATTCAAAGGGTGCAAATGTTTCAGTTAAGCAATGAACTTTTTCATGACCTTCAATTTATTAAAAGATGGAATAAAAATATTTGCTTAGGTTACTGTCTTAAAACTGAAACAGAAAGTTCAACAGAAAGAAAACTTCTAGGGAATTATCCAACTGCAGTGAGCTGAAGTCTTTAAATGCTATTTCCCTATTAGTATTTTGAGAATATTTGCCCATTAATTTTCAAAAATATACTAGTAGGCGGCCATGGTGGCACTTACCTGTAATCCCCACACTCTGGGAGGCTGAGCCTGGAGGGTTGGAAATGTGAGCCCAGATTGGGAGTCCAGCTTGGACAGTTGGGCAACTTAGTAAGACCTGTCTCAAATGGAAATGGTTGGCGAGGAAAGGAGGGAAAGGAAAAGAGAAAAAAGAAAGAAAAGAATTAAGATGTGTTATGTATGGGTACCTACTTCCCATAAGGAGTATAACCAGTATGTACTATAAATGTGTACTAATAAAAATAAAATAAAATGCCATAAAATAAAAAATAAAAGAGTTGTGGATATACATTAGTGTGAATGCCCTTGTTTCAATCCTGAGATACCCCATACCAAAAATAAAGAAAAGAAAATAAGCATAATCCCATTTTCAATATCTGGTAGAAACACAACAACTATAATCTTGAAAGCATATTTATTCAATTCGATTGTAGAACAAAAACAGATTGAGTTTATTGTTGTTAGTGAAGAGATTTGATATATTGCCAAATAGCACATAATAGACACCCAATTTAATAAATTTTAAATAAGTTAGCAAAATTAGAACACAAACTGTGCTTTCAGGAGGAGGGACTCAGAGGTGTGAGGGAAATTGAGAAATCAAATCAGTTGATTCAGCACCTAAACAAGCTGCTCATTAAGAATGTGACACTACCACTTTTTAATTCAAAAAAATTATGAATGGAAATCCAGGTTGGTTTTCTTGAGGTAAGTGAGTTTTATGAGAACTAGTGTTTCAGACATTCTCTGAGTCTCTCTTTGGTAAATCCTCATTTTAAGAAGAAATTCTAAATTCTTGCCTTTACTTCAAAGTATCTTGGTTTTGGCTTTATAATAAAATCTTTCATTTGATGAGAAAAGTCTTTCTAACTCATATTAGTGCTATTCCAGGCCTATTAAAGAGGGAGTTTAAATACTTCATTGATTTGTTGGGTCATCACTGGAGCAGCAATTATGTATGAGACTAAGTCATTATACTTTGTGGCAGACATCCAGTTAATTAGGGGTTCATTTAATTGATTTCTTTATTACTCAGGACTTTACAACAGAGTAATACATTTAAAAAGCAACATGCATAATCATTTACTTCTGGAGTTATATCTGCATTTATATTTAAATTAATTTCATTGATACTCTATTTCCAAACATGCATTAAATAGGGTTAACATTGTTTAACTTCTCATTTGTTCTGTATTCCAACAATATTTAATTGGAAATGTAAAACTGAATACTCTCTGTATTCTCTTATTTTAATAATAAAAATGAAAATATCGCAAATTTTAGGTAATCTGTTCACTCCAATATTTTCTTCCTTGTACCGTAGAATGTGTCATAGGTTTTTATTTTTACACAAACTGAGAAAATGAGTTTTCTTTAGAAATCTTCATGGCCCTAGGTAACACTGCAAGCATATCGCAGTGTGAGATT